CTTTAAATGCTTTCTCCCCCCACTATCATGACCCCATTTCTGCTCCACGAATCCTGCTAAACCAGAAGATGTAAGTGCTTTCGACACAAGGATTCCAAGTCAGATAACCCCCTCAGAAACAGTAATGGGTTAGCGATACCATGAGGGTACTAGGAGAGTCTGGGGGTGGCAGTGGGGTGGGAGGGGAAAGGGGACCTGATAGCAGTGATGGATATATAACAACCCTCGCCCCTTCAGGGGGATGAATAACAGAAATGTGGTGAAAGGGATACAGCTGATGGTGTAAGGTATAAGAAAATAAAATAATAATATATAACTTATTAAGGGTTCATAAGGGCGGGAGGGTGAGGAAGGGAGGGAAAAAAGAGAAGCTGATATCAAGGGGCTCAAGTAGAAAGGCAATGTTTTTTTATTTGGGGCTTAGCTCTTATAATATCCATAAATGCATCCATTGTATCAAGCACATTTGTACAGTTGTTGCCATCATCATTTTCAAAACACTTTCTTTCTACTTGAGCCCGTGGCATTGACTCTTAATTTTCCCCCTGCCTTTCCCACCCTTCCTCCCGTATCCTTGAAAATTTATAAATTATTATTATTTTTTCATGTCTTACACTGATTGATGTCTCCCTTCACCTACTTTTCTGTTGTCTGTCCCCCTGGGAGGGGGTTGTATGCCTACATTGTGATCCCTTCTCCCTTTCTCCCCCCACCTTCTCCTTCCCCTCCTGGTATCGCTACCCTCGTTATTGGTCCTGAGGGGCTTATCTGTCCTGGTTTTCCTGCGTTGTATGGGCTCTTGTCTGTTCCTGTGTACATATTCTGGTCTAGCTGTATTTGTAAGGTAGAATTAGGGTCATGATAGTGGGGTGAAGGAAGCACTAAAAAACTAGAGGGAAGTTGTGTGTTTCATCAGTGCTGTACTGCACCCTGACTGACTCATCTCTTCCCTGTGACCCCAATTGTCTACAGATGGGCTTTGGGTCTCCATTACACACTCCCCCTCATTCACATTGTTATGGTTTTTTGTTCTTGGTCTTTGATGCCTGATACCTGATCCCATTGACACCTTATAACACAGGCTGGTGTGCTTCTTCCATGTGAACTTTGTGGTTTCTCAGCTAGATGGCCGCTTGTTTACCTTCAGGCCTTTAAGCCAAACGCTGTGTCTTTTGATAGCCAGGCACCATCAACTTTCTTTACCACATGTGCTTCTGCACCCATTTTATCTTTAGCAATCATGTCAGGAAGGTGAGCATCATGGAGTGACAGGTTATTAGAACAAAGTGTTTTTGCATTGAGGGAGTACTTGAGTAGAGGCCTAATGTCTATCTGCTACCTTAATTCTTAACATTAATATATGTATATAGACCTATTTCCCTATTGTTATATAAATACATTTACATATGTACATGCCTGTATTTAGACCTATATAAATGCCCTTCCCCTCCTAGTTTTTTCCTCTATTTCCTTTACTTTCCTCTTGTCCCACTATCATCTTTGGCCTTCATTCAGGTTTCAATAATTCCTCTTGGTTATATTGCCTTTGATTAAACCCTACCAGGTATCCTATACCTTCCTCACCATAGATTTTAGATCACTTGTTGTTCCCTTGTCCCTGGGTTTGTTAACACCCACCTCCTTTCTCCCCGCCTTCCCCTCTCCAGTGGCCTCTGGGAACCATCAGTCCGTTGTTTTCTCCAAAGAAGAAAACACTTTTATTTTTTCTTGATAGATATGCAGAGACAATAATAAGCACAAAAACACAAGACAGAGCAAAACCAAACAACAACAAAAAGAAAAGCCTATAAATAGTTCCAGGTCTGTTTGTTGACCTTTAGGGGTGTTTTCTGGTGGAGTCTGATGGGGTGCCAAGCCCTGGCCCCAAAGTCTACTTTTGGTATTCCCTGGGGACTTCATTGCTCTGTTCCCCCTTGTTCTGTTGCACACCCTTAGTGTTTTGCCTAAGTGTGGTGGGGTCAAATCAGGCGCATTTCCCGCACTGTGCCTCAAGTGTTGTCCCTGGTAGTGCTTTGGGTCAGGGAGGGACATCGTGTCTCATCGTGGGGCCGGCCCTCGTGTCCTCTCTGTGTTTTGGCTGCTCTGAGCAGGAATCTTGTTCTCAGGGTTTGGTGGGCCAGGATGTGTTCCACTCTCTCTCCTTCCCTTTTCTTTTGCCCCTGTGTGCTCTGATCAGATGTGCCCCTTTCCCTGAGCCGTCGCTTCAGTGCTGTTCTCTGAAGGGAATTTTTCTGGGAGGAGGGGGACAAAGACAATGTTTTAAAAATGATGTCAGCATGTGTTGCTTGATATAATTGATTTATGGATTCTTATAATATCTGTAAGAGCCCCAGTAAGACAGGAGGAAAGTCAAGGGAAATAGAGTAAAGAGCTGGGAGGCAAAGGGCATTTATAGAGGTCCAGATAAAGACATGTACATATGCAAATATATTTATATATGAGGATGGGGAAATAGA